GGGAGGAAGTGGGAGGGGAGCTGTTGCATTGTGGTAAACTGTGGTCAATGTCATGAGACAAAGTATAAGTGAACCTTTGTATGGAAAGTGAATTTGCTCTGTAAACCTTCACCCAAATCACAATAAAAAAGAAAAAGGAAGGAAAAAAAATACCCTATGGTTCATAGTTCTTTTCTGACACACATGAGGTCACCATAATTCACAATCAGCTCAAATGTGTTTGTTATTTTATTTTATGTTTTATTTTTGCTTATATGATCAATATTTGTAAATGTTTCATACAAGTTTAAGAAGAATATGTATTTGGTAGTGTTCTATATATGTTAATTAAAATAAATTTGATTTTAAAAATATTTTATATCCATAACTGCTTCTTCTCTAAGCTCTTAAAAGATGTGCATTAAAATTTCAACTAGGATGATGAATTTGTTAATCCTTTGCAACTCTTAAAAAAATTTCCTTTATGTGTTTTGATAGGTTTATATAACCCACAACTTTTATTTCTTTCTAGTGAATTAAACTTTTTATCCTGAAATGGTGACTGGATAAATTCTTCTAAGAAATATGAGGTTGGTCAGCTCCCCAAAACCAGTTGTATGACACTGTATCCAGTTTGTGAATCACACTTCTGTTCTTCACTTACGGTAGGGTGGTATCCAAGACCATGGTCTTAGATGGGTCTTTACAAGTTTCTGTGTTTCATATATGTAGGATATTTTAAAAGCTTTATTACTCTGGCCATATACTACTTTGTGTGAATATCTTGATGAAATTGCATCAAGATAAAGAAAATTATAATAGTTTCATCCCAAAAAGGACTGATTTTTCCAGATGTTGGGAATCAACATCTTTAGTTTTATTTGCTAGTGTTGTTTAGGGAAATCTCATCTGAAGGCATAGGAATGGACTCGAATTCTTTCTATGGCATCCAAGATTAAAAAAATAATGGATGGTGGTGGGGACCAGGTTTGCTGCTCCGAGAGAGCCTGGTGGAACCACTGAGACTATGGCCCCTAGCTGCCCTTCAGGTCTGGAATTGAACCCACACCTATGGTTTCCAGCCAAGCAAAAGACAGACATATGAGTTGAACATTTACCTCAAGCAGATACACTCTTTGGAGAGAACAATCATGGGAGAAAGAAGGGCTGTTTATGCACAGGGAGACAGCTCAGGGGGCAGGAGTATATGGAGAGATGAACACTGGGAAGAGGTAACTATGGGGAGGAAGTGGGAGGGGAGTTGTTGCACTGTGGTAAACTGTAGTCAATGACATGAGACAACGTATATGTGAACTGCTGTATGGAAAGTGAATTTGCTCTGTAAACCTTCACCCAAATCACAATAAAAAAAAAAAATAATAATGGATGGGGAATATTGGGCCCTAACTTTTAAAACTGAATGACAGTTTAATACTGTAATATACAACATTTGGACCATGAGGAAATGCTCATGAGCATTAGCTATTAGAAAGATGCAAATCAAAACACCAAGAAGACATCATCTCACCCCAGCAATAATAGCAAAGTTCAACAAGACAGAAAACAACAAATTCTGGTGAGGGTGCAGAGACATTGGAATTCTTATACATTGCTGGTGGGGCTGCAAAATGGTACAGCCACTGTGGAAAATGGTGTGGTGTTTCCTTAAAAAACTAAACATAGAAATACTATTTGATCCAGCAATTCCATTACTAGGAATAAACCCCAAAGAGGTGAAAGACAGGACACGAATAGACATATGCACACCTTTGTTCATCACAGCACAGTTCACTATGACAAAGAGATGGAAACAATCTAAATGCCCCTAAACAGATGAATGGAAAACCAAACTATGATATATTCACACAATGGACTACTATGCAACATTAAAAAATAATGAAGAAAACACAAATCATCTCACAACATAGATGAATCTGGAGGACATTGTGCTGAGTGAAATTGTTGTTGTTGTTATGAGCCATTGAGTCGAACCCGACTCATAGCAACCCCTCCTTGGCCATCTAAGACGCAACTATTGGTCTCCTCTTGTCTGGAGCAAAGAAGAGGGAATACAACTGAAGTCATCTGGAAACAATTAGTCCAAGGATACAATGGACCACAGGGACCCTAGCCTTTATAACCCTGAGACCAGAAGAACTAGATGGTGCCCAGCTACCAATGCCAACCACTTGGAAAGGGATCAAAACTGGTGATCCTGGATAGAGTGGGAGGAGAAATGTGGAACAAAATTCAAAAACACAAAGATGACCAGAATTACTGGTCAGATGGAAAGTGGTAGAATCCCTGAGACTATGGCCGCAGGTTATCCTTCGGGCCTAGAAATGGACTCACTTCTGTGGATTAGCTCTCAGCCCAACAGTAGAAAGACCTACATGCAGAACACCTACCCCAGGAAGATGCACCCACCTGCCCTAGGGAGATGCACTCCTTAGATCAATCAGCCATGAGACATCAGAGGGGCAGCATTCACGTAGAAAGAAAGATGGAGAGACAGGAATGCATAGGTAAGAAGGGCACAGGGAGGGGTTTGTCACAGGGAGGAGAGAGGAGGAGAGTTTTCTATAGTTGGGGATTGTAGTTGGGGTTGTGAACTATTGAATGTAAAACAAATGAACTATTGAACTATTGAATGTAAAACAAATCTGCTTTGTAAAATTTCACCCAAAGCACAATTTAAATATACATATGGAGAATGTTGTTGTTGTTGTTGTTATGTGCCATCGAGTCTGACCTGACTCATAGCGACCCCTCCTTGGGTTTCCGAGGCAGTATCACTACGGAAGTAGATTGCCCCATCTTCCTTCCGAGGAGTGGCTGGTGGGTTTGAACCACCAGCCTTCTGGTTAGCAGTCAAGTGCCTTAGCCACTATGCTACCAGAGCTCCTCATATGGAGAATAATGGGCCCTAACTTCAAAAAATGAGCTATAGTTTAATATTGTAATATACAACATTTGGGGTCATCTTCAACTCTGAGATCTCTTTCTCATTTTGATGGAGACCCCTGGGCTACATGTGTCCCATGTACTTTCACTCCCCTGGCTACTAATGAGTAGGGGCAGTGGACTCTTGAACCAAAGAACATTGGAATTGAGATTCAGAAATACTAGACATTATCTTGTCAACTGTTAAGACATGTAAACAAGGGAGATGAAGCTCACATTTTGGTTCAACCAGCTTCTTCCACGAGCACAGAGCTGGCCATCTGCAAGATGGAAAGAAGGAAGTAGAATGTGGAGAGGAACAGAGAGGATTGATTACATGTGGCCCCAGGGAGAGAGCGAAATTATTTTGGGTCTTAGAGTCAATACACTTCCTGGCTCCCGTTTCTTCTGAGACCCAGCTGTAGTTCTTACCCTTACATTATTGTAGATATGTCCTCAAATCTTTGCAATAAGTTCCCCCTTTTTGGCTTATGCTAATTTGAGTGGGTTTCTGTCCTTGCTCATCTGAAATATAATTGTGTACACACTAAATACAGAGCAGTGTTCAGAGCAGTCTTGGAACAGTTCCCGGTTTTGTGGCTTACAGTATCTGAAGAACTTGAAGGGTTTCTTTATAAGGGACAGGTCTCAAATACAGGCTAGGAGTTGAAATGGTATATTCCAACAACTTTCCACCAGTACATTACACCTTTAATCCTATGCATTCAAAGTAAAAATCATCAGGAATTTTAATATAAACTGAATTCAGTGCGAGATAGGTTTATTGAAACTTAAAGAAAGCAAGCATAACCAGCAGAAAACATTTCAGAATGACATGATAACCATTAGAGCTCATATGTCTCACATAACATATACTAATGACTAAATTCACAGTTACTTTTTTTTCTTTTAGTTCTCCAGTGTTCTCCCACAGAAGGATACCTGCAGAATCCAGAGTATGTTAGCATTGAGGCACTTTCTTGAGGAAAGGAACAGGCTTGCCCCTGATTAAAAGAAAAGAAGAAGCCAATATCAATGTCTTTGTAAGGACTCTTTTTTCTTCCCCACTGAGGTCTCTCTCATACACAAGCTGGAGAGGGGGAGAGAGAGAGAAAGAGAGAGAGAGAGAGGGAGAGAGAGAGGGAGAAAGAGAGAGAGGCGGGGAGAAGGAGGGAAGGAGAGAAATCTTGTGGAATTAATCAATTAAGAAATGTGGAAAGTTGTTTTTAAGTTCCTAGGTAGACACTTTATTTTGTGTAAACTATTCATTGAATGGCTAGAAATTAAGTGATTGTTAGAGTTACTAAGAGTCAATAGATTTTACTGGCATTGTCCTTTCATTTAGTCCTTTACATATCCTTTTGAGTATGTCTCACATTTACTTAGATCAACCCTTGCAAGGCAATATTCCCTAAAATTTAAGAGCACAGCATTCAGAGCCACATTACTTGGGATTAACCCAGGCAAAGACTTTGCGACCTGGGAAAATTGCTTAAGCTCTGTATGCCTCAGTTTTCTCATCTGTAAAGTAGGACTAACAACAGAATTTACAATTTACAACAGAGTTTATAATGAGAAGCATTTGAGTTAACACACTAAAGCACATAGATATTGCCTGGCACAGAGCACCCCTTATATAGGCTTTATTAACACTCCCCTATGACTGATGCTCCTTTGGACATGGCCAAGAATCATCGGATAATTCCAAGAGTATGAATTTGGAGTGCACAGCAGGGATAATACTTACCTTGAGTCTCCTCAGCTGTGTATGTTGGAATATTTTTGCACATGTTAGCGATGGATTTTCCATACTTGTTCAGATCATTGACTGAGTTAGGGTTAATTGAGTACATCAGGCCCCTGGGAGGTTGTCCTCCTGGTCCTTTACCCTGAAGCTGAGTATGGAGAAGACAGGTGAAAAGGAAGATAGAGAATGAATGCCAAGCTCAGTGGTTTGTTGATTTGAAGGTTGGGTACAAGATCTTCAGTGGGCATTGCTTGACTGTCATTTTTCTATAACTGACATGAAGAAGAGCCAATTTCTGCTCTGTATATATCAGAATCTCTAAGTATCCCAATGGGTTGGAAACCTCATCATCTTATGAGAGCAGATATCCGAGGCTAAATTTACCTTGAAGCTTGGATCTCATCTGATCATTTGAGATTTCCTAAATTGGTTCATATAATAATCACCTTTTGAGAAAGGAGTTTATTTCTTTTTGCTAACTTTTCAATGAAAGGTACCTGTTTATCAGTTATAGTAATATGAACTCAGGTAAATAAATATTTTAAAGTACTATGGATTCCCCCTTCCCTTTCACACCAACTAGAGTTGCCATTATCCTCGGCATTAGTGAGCTGAAATGGACTGGTTTTGGCCATTTTGAATCAGACAACCATATGATCTACTATGCAGGAATGACAGTTTGAAAAGGAATGGTGTGGCATTCATCATCACAAAGGATGT